CATCATTATTATTATTATTATTATTATTATTATTATTCGGTACCGTGTAGATATCAGTTATGTCTTCTTCGTCTTCGTCTTCCTCTTCTTCTGTTTTTGTTACACATTTCATTGTTTACATTGTCCTGTCTCTGTTATCATTCACGTGACATAAACAGATATTCCAGGTGACAGAAATCTAAAATACTCAAGAGCGATATTCTCTTGATAAATATTCCCCCCCTAAGAAAATATTCATAATTTTTTGCTTGTGTAAATGTGGTTCTATTACCTTAATGAACTTAATTGGTGTTTTTTGTATAGTTAAACTTAAATAAAAAAATATTAAATAATTGTCAGCAGAGTCCTAACGTAACCTCTTGTGACCTGACCTGACCTGACATAAAGGAATGGAATCTAGGTTTTTAAATAGGACCCAGTTTTAATGGACTCCAACTTAAAGGGTTAGGTTGGGATTTATTTTACATAGAATCTGAAAAAATGAATCTTTTTCAAGTAGTAATCGCCGCTAACCTACCGCTAACACCGTGATAACACCAACTAACCTGCCGCTAACACTTGATAACATCGTCTAACCTACCGCTAACACCAGCTAACACCCGCTAACACCAGCTAACACCCGCTAACACCTTTTAACACCACCTTCACCTCCCCAACACTACCCTACTATAGTTCTTAACGTTCGCTCTCTCCTCATACCCAAACTGCGCGTCTTACTTACACATTTTACTGGATGTATCAGGTGTTGCGGTCTCTCTCTCTCTCTCTCTCTCTCTCTCTCATTTATTTATATCTGTCTCTCTCATCTGTCGATTGCCATTTATCGATCGTCTGTTTTGTGCTGCATCGTCCGTCTATCTACAGTATCTATATCTATCTATCTATCTATCTATCTACCTATCTATCTATCTATCTATCTATCTATCTATCTATCGCCTTGCATCATACAATAACGTAATATTTATCCCATGCAAGACTTGGCGGGGAACATATTGTTATTTACATTATTTGTTTGTTTTATTATCTCACATCCTATCTCACTATCCTATCTCTCTCTCACTATCCTATCTCCCTCTCTCTCACTCCTATCTCTCTATCTCTCACCCTCTCTCACTCCTATCTCTCTATCTCTCACTCCCTGTCACTCACCCCGCACACTGTACTATACTATGTGTTTTAACTCATTATTGTTTATATTCTCGGATTAATGTTTGTAGGTGTTTTATTTGTGTGTTTGTGGGGGGGGGGGTGTGTTAAGCTAGAGAGTAACACGGATATGATGGATGTGGTAGCGGTGTTTATATCCGGGTACGTGAGAGGTGAGGAGGCCAATCGATGATATTCCTTGATACTCTGATGTAATTTACGCCATACTTAATGATATTAATACTGAGTCAAATATATAAGTTAATTATAATATACGCGAGTTTAATATAATATCCATATATATTTTTGGATATAATTGTATGTAAATTAGACCTTTATTTAAAACCAATTACTGGGACTTACCTGTAAACAAAATCCCTCATTACCGGATTTGTGACCAGGTGGAAAACAGGTAATTAAAAAAAATCTAATAAAAATAAAGTCGTGTTCAGTTACCGACAGTTACTCAATATCGACAACCGGCGTTAATTAACAGTTAATTATATTATTGAGAGGAAGGACTGGTCTGAAACCTGACTGTCAGTAATCGTACACCGACTGCTAATGACAGTAACCGAACACCTTTGACTGGGAATGATGACTGGGACCACAGCGGACACCTTAGCGCTTCTCCTCCTCCTCCCGCTCCTCCTCCCGCTCCTCCTCCCGCTCCTGTTTCTGAAGGAGTTATATGTATGTCTCTCTCTCTCTCTCTCTCTCTCTCTCTCTCTCTCTCTCTCTCTCTCTCTCTAATCCTAAGTCGTTTCCCGCTATAGCTCAGGGTGGCCCGGAATCAAGATCGAATCGTTTGGTCTTCTTCTTCTTCTTCTCCCTTCATTCGTTATCATTCTCTCTAATCTGTTTTTCAAGAGATTTTTCATCATTCGTAAACTCTCCCGTCATTCTCTCTCATTTAATGGACTCTTTCGCTCTCATTCGCTCTCATTAAACGGACTTGTCATTCTCTCTCATTTAATGGACTCTTTCGCTCTCATTTAACGGACTGTCTGTCTTTCAACATTCGTTCTCACAGACTCTTTTAACCGGACCTGTTTCTGTATATATTCTTCGGTGTTCACATCACATCCAGGTAATCAGAGACAACTTTACCTGGCGACGCACCTGGTTCCGTCAACACTTTACCTGACAGGTGGTCACAGTAGACTGAGGTAACCTAACCTAACTTGACCTTACTTCACAATAGACCTGTACCCCACCTCCCACAATCCCTTTAAAATACAACCAGATCCTTTAAATCACAATTATTACCCTAAAACTATCAATCCCTTAAATCAACCGGTCTTCTAAAAACGACCGATCTCCTAAAACCTAAAACTACTACCTTAAAACAACCGGGCAATCCCTTAAAACGCAACCATTTACCGAACCTAAGCTAACCTAACCTTATCCTTAAATTACAAACTCTACTTTAAAAATAATCGCTTACCTAAAATATAAATTTATTTCCTTAAAGAGTCGACTGTAAATCACGCTTCCTCCTCCTCCTCCTCCTCCTCCTCCTCCTCCTCCTCCCATACCTTCCTTGCTCTGTATCTCATTAACCTGCAACATTTACCTCCAAAAATGTAAACAGAAGGTAAAAGAGTCAGCTGTAACCCCCAACCCACCCTCACTCTCCCCCCCCCTTCCTTACCCACCCTAGGCACCCTTATCACCGTCCCCAACCCACCCCAACCCACCCCACCCCCTTACCTGCCATATATTCGGGCGTGGTCCTATGACTTAGCCCACCTCTCTCCCTTTCCCTCTCCCTTCCCTTCCCACTCTCCTCCCTCTCCACCACGTTCTCTATCCCTTCGTTTTACCCTCTTCCTCCCTCCTTTTCATTCGCTTTCTCGATTTTCTTTCTATTTTGTCATAATTTCCCGTCATAGTTTTGCGGCTACTACTACTACTACTACTACATTAACTCTTACCACTATAACTATTCAAACGCTATAACATCAATTAATATAACAATGACGACTACTACCACATCATCAATGAATTCAACTCTTACCTACAACCACAACTACTACCACAACCAACCCCTATCAACCCCCCCCCATGTGGTGGTAGTTAGGATGGTTGATTTATGGTGGTAGTGCGGTGCGTAACCATGAAAACTGTCCAACTGCGGTGATCTTTTGTGAGGGTAGCCGTGGGCGCTCCTGTAGGCCGCCCACCCCGCCCACCCTTCCTCCCTACCCTACCCTACCCTACCTGTCACCCGCCTACAGGTAGATAGGCCCACCAGGGAGGTCACGGTGCTCGGGTTTTACAAGGAGGTATCGAGCTACTGTTGTTAAAAGGAGGAGGAGGAGGAGGAAGAAGGGAAGAAAGTAGGAGGGAAAAAAAGGGTAGGAAACAAGAGATTTACAGTCACTTAGCCTTAAATTTATACTTTATTAGGACCCGTACATAAGTTGCGGGAACCATATACAAATCAAACCTCTTTTTTTCTCTTGTCTGTCTGTCTGTGTTTATTATCTTGTCTTACCGTCAATGGTAAACTGTTAATTAGGATGTAGTTAACTTTGAGATAGTTTACATTGACCTTTGACTGCCTCTACTAACTTACTGATAGTGTTTTCTCTCGTGAGGGTGTTTTCTTTCCTGTGATCCCTCTTTTTATTGGCACACCAGGGGAGGAGGGGGAGGAAGAATAAGATTAATACATTATATCTTTTATTCTCTTTATATCTCTCTCTTCCTCCTCCTTCTTCGTTCTTCCTCACTCTCTCTCTTCCTCCTCCTTCTTCGTTCTTCCTCACTCTCCCTCTTCCTTTATATCTCTCACCTTCCCCTCGTTCTTTCTCCCCCTCCCTCACCAAACCGGACCAGGTTGGTGGGAGGGTGGGTGGTATCAGCGGCGGGAATCGGTGGCTGGGTCTTGGCAGGAGCGAGCAAGAACCACACACCTGCTTCACTGTGGGGTTGTGTCCGCAATCTGATAGTCCTGTTCCACCGCCCTCACTCCCTCCCTCCTGCCCGCCCACCCCACCCACCCACCTCTTCTCAATTCCCCCCAACTCCCCGACTACCTCTTCCATCCGCCTATTGCCCTCCCTCCCTCCCTCCCTCCCTCCTTCCTTTCTTTCTTTCCTTCCTACCTTCCCCGTTTGTCTCTCTCTTCACCCCCCCCACCCCCCTTGTTTGTTTCTTATTCATTGTTATGAGCACGAGTGTTTGTAGTGGCTCGTGTGTGGGTGGTTTGTTGTATGTGTGTGGTGTTGGGGGAGGGGTGTGATGAGGGTGTGGGTGGGATGGGTGGTAGTGGGTGGGATGGGTGGTAGTGGGTGTATCTGGGTGGTAAGGGAAGGAGATTTTAAAGGTTGTGTGTTTGGATATTACTCTTTTATGGACGTGATATTTTTCCGTTTACATTTGTGTTATTTATCTGCGCACCTGTACACGTGTTGTATTAAAACAATTACGGTGTAAAATTCTTCACGTTAGTGTCTGGTGTAATACTTGGTGAGGTGACGGCTGCGACTGGTAATATTTATGTGTAGTAGAGGAGAGGACTCGCAACTCTTGATGAATAGATAAAGTTTATTTGACTGTACTAACACCATTGTCTCACACACACACGACCATGTTATTACAAGTGTAGCATAATAGAAAGATTGGTTTGTAATTTTCAGTACTGTAGTAGAAAGTAAGATTGTATTTGATTTGTTTAGGATAGTTTAGCACTGTGATAATTAACTTTAGTGATCCAAATTTTTAAAACTTAAAGATTGTTAATATTGTGTTGGTCATTATAGGGATACTGTACTGTGTTAACCAGTAATTACTAAGTTAAGTTGTGGTCAAAGCTTGGAGCTAACATGTGGTTGTCCCCCTGACAGATGGTGCGTGGAGGTTGAGGGCTGTGACTAGTGGAGGCGCCGTGTCCGTGCCGCCATGCCCGGAGAGGAGCAGGGAGAACCGCCTCTGAAGGGATGCCCCCCGGCCCCCCCACACCCTCCCGCTAACCCTCTCGACACCCCCAGCCACCCCCAGGAACACCAACAAGCCCCCCCGGAAATGAGTCCCGAGGACGCTCCCTCTACCTCCCCCTTGGCGGGCGAGGAGGGCCCCGGGCCCCTCCCTCAACAGGGACCTAATGCCACCTCCTCGTCGTCGTCGGCGCCGTCAGCGTCGCCGCCTGCGACGTTCAACTTGACGTGCATGACTTGCCACACGCACTTCACGTCGGCGGAGCAGTACACGCGGCACCATTGCGTGGCCTCGTCCGCCGCCCAGGACGCCATTAACGAGTCGTCCAGTGACGTGGAGAAGTTCGACGGCAAGATCGTGTACAACCCCGACGGGTCGGCCTACATCATTGACTCTGAGATGAGCGACGACGAGGGTGTGGCGGGCCTGGAGCTACCGCGGCACGAGGGGTCCATAGTGGACTCCCCGAGAAACCCGCTCTCCTCCACCGCCGCCCCCACCATCCCCACTATCGCCAACGCCATATACGTCACCAAGAACCCCGCCTTCTATACCGCCCTATACGGTCAAACCTTCACCTCGCTAATCCAGGAAAACAAAGTTCCTGAAGTTCCCATTGTTCACAACTACAGGGTCTTTACCGTTGGTGATAAAGACAGTGAAAATGAATGTAAAGACAGTGATAGCAAAAATGATAGTTCCAGTGAGAAAACAAAACTTCCATTATTAGACTACTCGCAAGTTCCAATTAAACCTATATTGATGTGTTTTGTATGTAAGTTGTCTTTTGGATATGTTAGATCTTTTATTGCCCATGCGATGGGCGACCATAGTGTAGTGCTCATGGATGAGGAGAGAGACCTTTTGGCGGCCAAGAACGCCTCGGCCATCATCCAGTGCGCGGGTCGGGAGAAGGAGCCGCGAGTGTCGTTCCTAGAGCCAGTGACGCCCCCAGGTGCCGGCAGCAGCAGCAGTAGTAACAATAACTGCAGCAGCAGCACCCAGCACGGGGGCGCGCTGGCCACCCTGCTGCCCTCCGGGGCCCCCAGCGGCACCTCCCCCAGCCCGCAGCCGTCACCTGTAAAGGCTGCGCACAACAACGATGCCCACCACGACCTCACCGATGACGAACGAACCAATGCAGTCAAACGTGAAATGCCTGACTTTTACGAACTTGTCCGTCAGCAGCAGCAGCAGCAACTGCAGCAGCACCAACAACAGCAGCAGCAGCATCACCACCACCAACAAAATCATCATCAGCACCAACAGCGGTCTGATCCCTTCGCTGCCCCTCAACACCCAGCCGCTGCACGGACTCCAGACCTGAGCCGCAAGTCGCCTATCTCGGCCCTTGGTGCCAATGGACGCGCCTCTGTGTCGCCCGTAACGTCGATGTCGCCCACGAGCTTCTCGCCGCTGCAGTCCCCCGTGACGCAGCTGACGGGCACCGTCATCGGCGCGTGCCCAGAGCACATGAACGGGCGACCTCAGGGCGTCACCTGCGACAAGTGCGATCTCATCCTACAACAGTCGCGCCAGCTGGGCGGACAAATGGCATTCATGCACTCTCGCAACTCCTGCAAGACCCTCAAGTGTCCCAAGTGCAACTGGCACTACAAGTACCAGGAGACACTGGAGATCCACATGAAGGAGAAGCACCCGGAGAACGAGTCCACCTGCATCTATTGCCTCACCAACCAGGCGCACCCGCGTCTTGCCCGAGGGGAGACCTACACCTGCGGCTACAAACCTTACCGCTGCGAGGTGTGTAACTACTCCACCACCACAAAAGGCAACCTTTCAATCCACATGCAGAGCGACAAACATCTAAACAACATGCAAGAGTTGCAGAACGGTGGTATGCCCACCATGGACGGCACTCTAGGCTCACAGTCGCTAACATCACAGCAGCAGAGTCCATCCGGCAGTATTTACTCGGCGCCCAAGACGCCCACGCCGTCGACCACTCCGGCACCCACGCAGCAGCAACAGAAGCCCAAGCCTGTGTGGCGCTGTGACGTCTGCAACTATGAGACCAATGTTGCACGTAACTTGCGTATCCACATGACCAGCGAGAAGCACACACACAACATGATGGTGCTGCAGCAGAACGTGAAGCACATGCAGCAGCTAAGTGCTCTACAGGGAGGCGGAGGCGGTGGGAGCCAGATGGATGCTATGGCTCTCCTGCAGTACGCCGGTAACCCTGCTGCCGCCGCCGCCATGATGGCTAGCTTGGGAGTAGGAGAGAAACCACACCTTCCGGAGGCAGCTCTTGCTGACCTCGCCTACAATCAGGCGCTGCTGATCCAGATGATGTCGGGTGGCCAAATGCCTCCTAGCCACATGGGTCACGGCGGCCATATGGGTCACGGGGGTCATGGTGGCCCCCCGGGTCACGCCAGCGAACATCCTGGCCCACACTTTGACTTGGGCCTCAACCCCGAGTCACTGGAGCCTCCGCCGGAGCCCGTGCCACCCAACCCGCGGCACGCCTTCACCTGCTGTGTGTGCTCCGTCTTCTCCACCGACTCACTAGAGCAGCTCACCCTCCACCTGCAGCTAGACCGCTCAAAGATCAACGAGAACGAGGTCTTACTGGTGGTCGCGGGGAATTACATCTGTAAGTTGTGTTCGTACAAGACCAACCTCAAAGCTAACTTCCAGCTGCACTGTAAGACTGACAAACATCTGCAGAAGTTGCAGCACGTCAACCACATCCTGGAGGGCGGCCCGCGGAACGAGTGGAAGCTCAAGTACCTGTCTAACACCAACCCGATGCACGTGCGGTGTAACCTGTGTGAGTATTACACCAACAGCGTCCACAAGCTGCAGCTGCACGCCGCCCACCAGAGGCACGAGGTACTCAACGTCCTCTTCCGCCACCTGTGTGTCGCGGAGCAGACCATGATGGAGGAGCGCCGCATGTACACCTGCACCCTCTGTAGCTTCACCACGCGCGCCAAGCTACAGATGCTCCACCACATCCGCTCTATGCGCCACCTGCAGATGGAGCAACTCCACCAGATCCAGCGACACGCTGAGGGCGGCACCCAACAGGACATCGGCGACATCTTCAAGGTGGAAGAATCCGAAGAAGAAGGACGCCACACTCCGCCTGCCAAGTCCACGATTTCTCTCTTTTGTAATTCCCGGAAGGTGTTGTAGACAACCCTCACAGTTAATAGTTATCGTCACTTGTCCTCTCTCACTGTGAAGTAAAATCCTCTTTTGTGATTGTTTTAGTCAGTTGTTAGACGATGATAGTATTAGTAGTTAATGTTAAGATGGCAAGCATTTATATCAGGTTATTAAATGCTGTATTTGTTCTTTACTATTTATTTTTTTAAGTCATTAAGTGTTCGGGTTAATACTATTTTTAGAGTTTTTATCACTCACTGTCACAGAAAATTTCATAATTAAATCTAAATTAATTACGAAAACCCCAAATTCTTGAAGCACACATTGCAGTATATATAATTCCCTGTAGTAAATTATACAGCAATGTGTAGTCTCATTCCTTGGCGATAAAAAATTGCAGTTGTCATGTAGGAGTAGTAAGGTCGCGAGCGCGTGCAGGGCGTCATGCGTCTTGCGCAAGCACTTGCATGTTCCTCGGCCATCTTACAAGAACGCATGACCCACGCTCCTCAACCCCGCTAGAGCGCACACAAGCACGCCCCTCAAGGTCGCCTAAGCGTGACACGAGCGACCATTCATTCCACTTGACTCTCAGCGGAGGATTTCATCACCTGTGTCGCTCCTGAAGGTTTCTAGAGACGTGAGAGAGCTGGCGAGGGTGTAGTGGCCCTCCGCGTGCTAGCCAGGGTACAGGCGGCGGGTAGCGTGTGACAAGTGTGCTAGTCAACGCACTTTAATTATTTTAGGAGAGGCAGGCGATGAGAGAGCCAGTACCATGCTTTATTTATGGTACCTGGAGAACCCCCACCACCCCACCCACAACACCAACACCCATCGCGGTACACAAGGCTCTGAAGGTGTTTGTTGTGGTGTCTGTGATGTTTTGTGTGCATGCCAGTGTGCGCGAGTGTGTGTGTGTGTGCATTAATTAATCGGTTCTCTGTGACTGGATTGGTAAACATGTGGAAAGGAAGGTTATTGTGTGTGTGTGTGTGTGTGTGCGCGCGCGCGTGTGTCACTGTACTCAGGTATTTCCATATATGACGAATTATTATTTTTGGGTCTATTCTTCTCCAACCAATCATTCGGGTTCCTTCCTCCACAATTTTCGTTCTTCTCTCTTCTATTTCCCCTCTATTATCTTCTCTTTATGTCTCTCAATCTTCCTATCCACCTCTTCTTCCCGCGATCATCCTCCTTGTCCACTTTTTATTCCGTTCTTCCTCCATTTGCCCTTCTTCCTCTCCTCACTCTCACTTCCTTCCTTCGTCTACCATCTCCGGTTTTCTTAATTTATTCTTCTCTAGTTTTCTTTTTATCCATCATACTACTACTACGCTTCTTCTTACTCTTTCTTCCCCTCCTCCTCCTCTCCTTCCCCTCCTCCTCTTCGTCCCCTCCTCCTCCTCTTCCTTCCCCTCCTGTCTGGAACACGTCTCACACTAACCACGTGATCTTGTTTTTATATCCCACGGTAAAGGAAGTGCGACTGTCCTATACTGACTCCCTTACGTGTGTGTGTGTGTGTGTGTGTGTGTGTGTGTGTGTGTGTGTGTGTGTGTGTGTGTGTGCGCGAAGAGCCACACCCGCCGTCAGCAATTTATATTGCTCTTGGGATGAATGAAAGAACAATAAAGTTTTAAAACCATAAAACTCGCGGTTCAAGGTCACAAGGTCAGCTCGGGTCACACTGGTGGTATTGTTATTGAACTTTCACCACTGTAGTCTGTTATTGGGTAAGTCTAAGTCTCTCTCTCTCTCTCTCTCTCCAAGTCAGTTCGGTAAGTCGTGATGGCTGCCATTGTTGTCGCTCCCTACCGAAATCAAATGAAAACCTTCGCTCACTGTGTGTATGAGGCCAGCGCCGTAAGCATGAAAATCGTGACTTACCGGGATTCCAGAAAGTAAACAGAATTTCCCAGAATGTATCGTCCTCTGCGCTATACCCAACCCTCTTATTTACCTCTACAAAAGGTTATATTTTCACTAATTATCGTAACTTTTCACCGATTTTGAATTGTTTAAATGTGGTTTAGTTTAGTGATTATAAATTTCAACGGGATTCTGGATTTCTTTTTTCTTCCGCATCTTTCCACTTTTTTCTCTTATGGTTGAGTAATTCGTCATTTTTGAAGCGAAGGAAAAGATAAATGAACTGGAGGAGGTGTCTGTGCGTCACTCGGGTCTAGGAACACCTCAGAGTGGGAACACCGCCAAGCTGTTCATGAATAAATGTTGAGGCTCAGTTAAATGTTACTGGAATTAGTAATATAGACAAAGGTATTAAGCGGCGGAGGTAGGAACACGTACACAACATGTTTACAGTACAGCGCTGATAGATAGAGGATTAACGACACACACACACACACACACACGTACACACATACACACGCACACACCCACGTCACCATCACATCTGTTAGTCGTTATAATAATAGTCATCTATTTATCAACTGTTAAATTAAATACAGTGAAGCAACAATAACATCAACAACAGAACCAGAACAAATAATCACCACCACCACAACTACTACCACACACGTTCCACCACAGCACCGCTATCAACACCTACACCAACACACTACCACACCACCACTACCACACACCACCATCACCACACCACCACCACACCACTAACCACACCACCACCACACCACTAACCACACACCACCACACCACAACCAACACACTACCACACCACCACTACCACACCATTAACCACACCACTAACCACACCACCATGACCGTCAGTATGTCTGGGTTATTGTCATGTCAGCTCCTTGATAACCAACCACACTAGACTGCCTGACCTCACCTCTGTCACTTAACTCCTCACCTCTCCCCCCTCACCTCCCTCACCTCCTCCCCTCACCTCCCCCCCACCTCCCCTCCCCTCACCTCTCCCCACACACACACATCGACCACCTCCGTATATCGACTGTTGTCCCCCAAATAAATTTCCGTATATATTGACCAGCCGCCAGCTATACACTGACCTCCATATATATTGACCGCTGTACCGTGTATATATTGACCGCTATACCGTATATATATTGACCGCTATACCGTATATATATTGACCGCTATACCGTATATCTCGAGGTATTAGTTTATTAATTAGTTATATATTAAGCTTAGTGCAGATAATTAGCAAGATGTAATTATACTAAAACGTTCTTGTAAGATGAGAGGAACATAATTACTACTAATTAATTACTTTACCTGTACAATACCTGTGACTGATAAAACAAATTTTGTCCCTAATAATTCTTAAAAACTTTTTGATAAATTTTAATAATTTCCCAAGTTTTTATTTTCGTGTTTGCTATTTTTAGATGACTATTATTAATGTTTGTAATTAATTGTTTTTTGTTATTTTGTCTTAGTAGTTTAGAGGTGATTATTATAATTAGATAGTAATTAGTAATTAATCTTAACCATAAAATAATCATGTATTTTTTCTTCTATAATTATGTATATATAATTATTCCTGTATTCATGTATTATTCATGTATATTTAACTAATAATTATTGATGCTTATGATGATTATGATGACGATTTTTATGTATAATCCATTATTTTGTCTATGTCATTAATACAGTGTATGGTTTGTATATATTGATTTATTATATATGTATATCTTTTATTTATACATGTTATATACTTATACATAATATTATTTAGATTATACTCACATGTTCAATTATTCTCTGTGTTTATAAATTATCAATATTTAATTATCTCTTGATTATTAATTATTTCTTATCTCCCAATTTTTACTATGAGGCAAATTATCTTTTTCTTACCATTAATTGCATTATTTCCTCTTATTTTATTTATTTGTTCTATGTGTATATTATTGTCTTTATTATGTTTTATCCCATTATCTATATTTTTTACATATTATTATTTTTGTCTCTCTCTTTGTTTACCATTTATTCCATTTCTCCATTTATGTATTTTATTGTATAGTTTATTTTGTTGTATTTTATTGTATTCTGTGTATATTTTATTTTCTGTAGTGTTGTGTTTAATTATTTTATTGTTAATGTTTTTGTTATTGTTTTAGTTATTGTTAAGTTTCTTGTGATAATTTAATTTTATGTTTAATTATTGTATATTTTCTGTCTCTTCTTCTTTATCTTCTTATTCGTCTTCTTTCATGTTTTAGTAATTATTTTATTCGTCTAATTGATGATAAGGAAAACAAGTGATAATATTGATGATAATTATAATAATCGTAGTAAAAATAACGATAATTTTGATAATAATAATGATAATCGTAATAATAATAATAATAATAATAATAATAATAATAATAATAATAATAATAATAATAATGTAATTTCCTGTTGAATTTATCTTCTGGGTTAATTAAGGGATATTGCGAAAATAGACAGACAGACAGACAGATAAATTAGACAGATAAATATATAAAAAAAAAATCCAGATGGACTTTTAGGTAAATATTGTTTCTGGTAATTCGTCATCATTATGTTTGTGATGTCATCTATATTCATCTGACGTCATCAATTGATTCTGTGACGTCATCGATCAATAAATCCGGCGATACAACAAAAACTTAATTTTTTTGTTTATTGCGCTTGAAAGTTTTTTTTTTTTTGTTCTTTATTGAAGAAAACTTTACGAGGTGTTAAAAGAAGTCGTTATTTAGTTACGTCTTTATGTCTTATTTAGCGAGTGACGATCAGGTGTTTTGCTGTTGTAATTAATAAAAGATGGGATTGATTAAGACCCTAATAATGCAAGGGGTAGTAATTAATGCACAGAGAGAGAGAGAGAGAGAAAAAAGTCGGTTGTTCGGTTCGTTAGTAGTCGGTACAAGTGGTCGGGTTGGTTAGAGAGAGTATCGGAAGTCATTGTCGGCGGCAGTAGGGTTGATTGTTCGTTTGGTAATTCGGAAGTGATGTAAAGTCGGAAGTCGGTCCTTTAATCGGCCTCTGATTGGATGAATGGT